TCACCTTTCTCTTCATTTGTATGATTGCTCAAGAAACTACAGTCCGTTATATGCATTTTGGTATTTTTCTTTTGAACTCATAAATGGAATATTAGGTATTTTTTTTGAGAATTTCTTGAATAAATCAGCTTACTAATTTATGAATGATTTTTAGGTTCTTTACTGAATAGTAATAGAAAAATCAAACTTGAGCTAATGCATCGATTGATGTTTAATATTCAAATTGACAGTATTACAAGTTCTGATGGTATTGAGGTAAAAGGGCTTAAATTGCTAGATAATTAACCTTCAATTAGTTCCCTTTCAGATATAGACGAATTTTCTTCTGACAAAATCCATCAATTTTAGATGAATTCACAAAATATTAAGAAATCAAATGTTACTGGTAGTGAACTATTTCTCAGCAAATTCCTTAAACTATCATCTGATAATATAATTATTTCAAGCGAAATGCTTGATTTGATGGTTGAATACTAAAATGTGACTTATATCACGTTTGATTTTAGGAAGCCATTTGATAAGTATTCGGAAAATGATATAATGATTCAAGTCAAAATGAATCAATTCAAAAGGTATTAAATTAGTTCTGAAATCTTTAGATTGTCAATATCTTTGTGACATGTAAAAAATTTGTACATTTTAGCCAAATTTATTACAAATGATAGTACAGTCAATTGTTATCCTGGTTAAATCCAATATTATTTTACATATAAGGTTGATTTGCCATTCAGAAAGGCTGAATATTTTCTAGTATTTGTTCATTGATATAAACTTGCAAGTTCTCTAAATATTCAGTATTATTTTAGCAAAGAAGAAATATGTAATATTAAATTATAAGATACCGAATTTTATCCAGAAAGTTGTGATTGTATAATACCAATTCATCATATTTTAGGTTAATTTGTACTGATTAACTATCAAATTTCAGCCTAACAAAATACAAAAGAATATTTGACTATTAATCCAATTATTTGTAAAAATAAATTGAATGTTTTTAGCATTATTTAGCTATTAATTCTAAATATCAGTTATATTTCCTTCTGAATTTTATTTTATTTTGAAATATTTTAGCCAATTTTTAATGTATATCAATCGGATCAGACGTCAAATCGGTTATAAATAAGATAGGTCAAATTTTAGCTAATTTTTGACGTATATTAATCAGTAATAAGTATACCAATTAGCTATAAATAAGATAGGTTGAATTTTAGCTAATTTTTAGCTGATTTCTAATGTAGACCAATTAGCTAGGCTGATTTTTTGATAATTTGCTGAATTTAGGCTAAATTTAGGCTGATTTTTCACATGTCTGATTTTTTTGATTTCGACCAGTGATATAATGTGAATACATAATGATTTTTTAAAATAATAATAAAAAAGGAAATAAGAAATAAGAAAAAAAGAATTAGAAAAGAATTAGAAATAAAAATTGAAATAAGAAGATAAAAATAAAGTTAATTTAGAAATTAAAATTTATAATTAAAAGAAATATTAATGAAACTTAAAATTAGATATGATGTAATATTAAAATATTAGTAAAAGAATAATATAATAATAATAAAGTTATAATATAATAGTAGAAATTAGTAATGAAAGAATTAGGAATTAAAAAATCATTAGAAGAAGGAATAAGAATTAAAATTATTAGAAAATTAGAATAAGGAAAAAATAGAAATTAAATTGATGATAAAATTTATATAATGTAGATAATAATTTTATTATATAAATCAGTTAAGAATTAGTATTTCTAGTTCAGTTGATAATAATTAAGCTTTTATTATAAATTATACTATAATAACTACAAATTTAAGTTTCAGTCAAAGTATAATTTTTATAATATTTTCAAAATGTGATAAATAGTGCTAATTAACAGGGAGAGAAAAGTTTATCTAACAAAATAAATTATAACGTTAATGAATTTTTAATAAAAAAAAGTATTATGCAAATGAATAATAATTTACTAAAAATTTTTAAATTAATTACCATTGATTAGAAATTTAATAATAAATCCATAAAATTTTAAAAATCTACCTATTATAAATCTTTGAAGTATTATATATCATAACTTTAAAATATTATATGTCGTAAACTTTTAAATTATTATACATCGTAAAATATCAAATTATTATACATTATAAATATGTAAATTACTACAATATTATCATATTACGTATCATAAATCTTCAAATATTATAATTGTAAACTTTTAAATTATTACATATCATAAATATATCAAAGTATTACATGTCATAAATATGCGAATTACTACAATTTATCATATTACGTATTGTAAACCTTTAAAAGTTTACATATTGTAAATTTTTCAAAATATTACATATTGTAAAATATTAAAATACTATGATACTTAAGTTTTTTAATCAGTTCGTAATCTTATATAAGATTACAAGATGTAAGATTTACTTAATACTTTGTATTATTAAATTTACTAATATAATTATTATATTATAATGTATAATTATGTTATGAGATTTTGCATTACTCTAAATTATATCATATTCTATATGACTGTGTTTACTATTAGTTATATCAGATGATTTGTATTTTATTATATTATTCTAGTTAATTATTTATCTATTATCATATGATTTTTAGCTAATTGTTTTTTCTTTATGAACCTCTATTCAATTGATTATTTTTAATCTTTTAACATTATAATTTCTCTAATTTTTGTTTATTTTATTATAAAAATCATGTAATATATTATTTTAAGATTTTTTGACTCTACAATATATATCATTATGTGTTCTTATCATATTATTATTTTCCATTTTTAGATATTTCTTTATTTTTACTAATTATTACTTTTCTTTCTTTATATTTTAAAAGTCTTTTAATTATTTTTTTCTTCTATGTCTTTAGTTATTTATAGTTCTAAGTCTTGTGATTTAATCTGTATTACATTTTAATTATTGTACTTCTTTCTAATTAATTATAACATTTTAACTTTATATTACCTTCTGATTATTATATAACATTTAAATTATCATATTATATTTTAGCTATTATATTACATTTTAGTTATTATATTTCTTTTAGTTATATTATGAGATTTTGTATTACTTTCTGGTTATATTGTATTCTATATGACTATGTTTCTTAATAATTATATAAGATAATTTGTATTCATTACATTATTCTAGTTAATTATTCATCTTAATATTATATGATTTCTGGTTAATTATTTTTCCTTCATAATCTTTCATTCAATTGATCATTTTTAATCTCTTAATATCATAACTTCTCTAATTTTATCTATTTTATTATAAAGAATCACATAATATATTTTTTTGAGATTTTTTAACTCTATAATATTTAATTTAAAATGATTATAATTAATTCTATTTGTTACTTAGAAATTTTTAAGTTTTACAGATATTTATTATACTTGAATCAATTTAATAATTTATTATATTTTAGAATTTAATATTATTTAGTTAAACTCATAATAACAAACTCAAAAGCAAGTTAATGTAAAATATTATAACAAATCTTAAATGAAAAATAATATTAAAAGAAAAAGTAATTTTATATAAATTTTAATTAATTCCTTTATTATTAATTTGTAACTCACAAAAGACTTGCAAAGAATTTACAATCTTATAAAAAGTAAATTTACAATTTAAGTAAAAAGTTATTTTATTTATACAAAATTAATTTGTTATGACTTATACTATAAATTAACTAACATATTTAATATATATGTATATTATAATAAAAATATACTTAAATGTAATAAAATAATAAAGGTAATATAAATTATAAAAAATAAAAAATAATAAAATAAATTATAAATATTAAAAGAATTATAGATGAAATAAAATAACAGAATAAATAGGCTATACAAAAAATACAGAAGAAATAGAAAAAATAGGAAAAACAAAAAATAATGCTGATTATTACTTAGCACAGTTAAAAGATTATTTAATATATTATCATTGATTGACAGATCTCATATGATATTTAAAATTGCAATTTCTTTCATTAATAACATGAAATAATAAAGAAATATTAATAATTATAAAACTCTGAATTAGATCAGGTCAACCTGTTTATCTGACCTGATCTGATCTAAAAATCCAGATTCTATCAGTAGATTTTTAGATTAATTTCAGATCAGATTAATAGGTTAACCTAATCTGATCTAATCTGATAAAATTTAAATTAACTATTCATTCTTGAATAATAGTTTTATTATTTTTAAATGATATTTTTATCATCCTTAAATAATGGTTTTATCATTTTTGAATGATGTTTTTATCATTCTTAAATGATATTTTATCATTTAATTAGAATGATTTATTATTATTCTTGAATAATGTTTTTATTGTTCTTAAATGATGTTTTTATTATTTAATTATAATGATTCATTATTGTTAATGATATTTTTATTGCTGTAAGATTTGTAAACTGCAAAGTAAAATACTTATAAATAAACACTAAAATTTTATGATAAAATTAAATAAATATGTATAATTATTATATAAAGAAGAACTGAAAATATCAAAAAAGAAAACTTTCCTTATACCTTGTAAATAAAAGAATTTCTTTTTTAAATTCATTTACATTCCAATTTACTTGTATTGATGAAACCTAGATTAACAAATTGTACTTTTGGTTAATTAGGATAAAATAGAAGATAAACAGCCTATCTATTCTATGAACACCAACGAGATCCATATATAAATATTTGTAATGGATAAGCTTCGTTGATAACATATAATTAATTATTTTAATTTACTTATATGGTTGATTGCTAGGAAAATCAGGTTCCGGGAAAATTGAGATTTTTATTGCATTTTTTGATGTTATTAGATTAAAATATATTAAGCTCTTAATTTAAGTCAAAAATTTCTCGGAACCTGATTTTCCTAGAAACCCTCCCATATGGTTTATTTAAATATTATTATTTTATAGTAAGACAAAAAAAAAGTTTGACTTTATATTATTTGAATTCCATATTCTTTCATTCTTTAGAAATTTCAGAAGGACAGATCACTACCAGAAGCGGCTTTTAGAAAAGCCATAACATCTTTAATGGATTTTGTTCCACATATTGTTGCCAATAACCTATCAAATCCTATAATATTAATTGTTATAATAATTATTTAAATAATCATGTGATCCAATTGCATTTCTTACCCAATACAATTCCACCGTGGGGAGGGCATCCATGTTCAAGTTCTTTTATCAAGTGATTAAATCTCTTTGCTTCTTCGTATCTTAACTAATTACACATATAATGTTAAAAATTATAGGGTTATATGAAAGGATTAACGTAATATTTCATTAAATATCATAGATTGTAATTTTGCTGAATGAAATATTATGGATCCACCTCCAATTTCTATTCCATTTAAAACTAAGTCATTATGTTGTCCTTTAACCTAAATAAAAACAAATTACACACACATATCTAATAAGTTAAATAATAACGATAAAACAGTATATTTAAATACACACCTGTCAGGATCTTTGAAAAGTAATTTAACGTCTTCGGGTATAGGTGCTGTGAACGGATGATGCGTTGAAGACAACCGTCCAGTTTCATTTTCTGTTCTCACGAGTAAATAAAGGAAATGATTCGACCCAAAGAAAGTTATAATCAAATGGGTGATATCTTCAATTTATCTAAAATGAATGAATAAAAAGCAAATCATTATTTCGAGATATTACATTTGGATTATAAATAAATGTTTGATCTAATAGGATATAATATATTTGATGCAACAAATACTTTTCGATTGTAACAAAATTTGCAATTTGGGATCGAATTCGTCCCAATAGCGTCCAACTCCCCTAATAATAATAATAATAATTATAATAAAAATACCATTTAAAATAATGAAAAATGATAAAGAAAAGGCGTTCTTTCACACTTGAGTAAAATCCGGTTGTCTATCAGTTCTAAGATCTTCGTCACGTAAACATTTCGCCATTTGAAAATATTTGTCAATTCCTCCTGTCATGAGTAATTGTTTATACTTTCAAGGATGAAAATCTTTTTCAATAATTATAAAAAGATAACCTGAAAATCAAAATTACAGTATAAAAATGAAAAAGGTATTAACCTGTTGCGTGACTTTGTGTTAATGCATAAAATGATCCTTTTGTTCTTGTTGGTACTATAAATTCTCTTGCTCCTACTCCTTCAGATGTTGATTTAAATAATATAGGTGTTTCAACTTCAACAAATCCTATATTTATAAATACATTGATATAAGGATGAAATATTATAAAATCTAATTAAATGAGTCTAAAGAATATTACCTTCATTCACAAGAAAATTTCTTATGGTCCATGATGCAAGCGAATGTTTACGAAGATTATTTTGAATAAAGTCCCGTCGTAAATCAATGTATCGATGTCTCAATCTAACTTCTTCATTTGGCTATGTTCAGTTAAACAAAATATTATAAATATTTTATTACAATAAACAACATTTAATAACTTACTAATTTTCTACTATCCAACGGGAAAAATGGCAAGTTATTTGCCCGATTGAGACAATAAAACTTACTCAATTTCAACTTCAATTTCACCAGTTGAAATTTGCTATTATGAATTAATCTAGAACATTAGTTAAAGTTTTCGTTATCCAGTAGATCTTAAAATAAAAAAAAGATCATACCATGTTAATAGTTTCTTTTGATCTTTAACAACTCCTTCTATACAAATAACACTTTCCGTCGATAATTGAGAAAGTTCTTCTTTTAATTTAGATGATGTACATTCAAAAGTTGTGTTGTCCCAAATGATCAATTCCGAGGATATCATGCTGTGGAAAAAAAATTGATCCATTTTAATATGAGAATATTTAGAATAGTTTTATACCGAACTTTTGAGTCCATCCACACGTTGACCAACGTGGCTTGAGCATAAGTCTCCACACGTATGAGTCCTTGAAGGAAAAGTTAGTTGCTATAAGATATTAAATTTATTAGTTCGGAAAAAAAAATTAAACAGTAAGTAGGGAAGGTGTTTTTACCTTGATTAATTGATTGGTTTGTATCTGTTTTAAACGCATACTTTGATGAAAAAATCGCTCGTTTTTGATATGAAATTAGTAAATTTGGAACAATCGTGAATAATTTAAATATTTAATCATTGTTATCATTTGTTTGAAATTTTTTATTTTATTTATATATGATCAACATATATTAAACAACGCAATTACGCAAAATATAATATACAGCAAATGTTTGTACTATTAATTTTTTACAGATCGTTCTAGATTTAGCTTTACATTTTATAAAGGCCCAGCGCCAATAAAGACTCGCACCATCTGCCTTGCCTGTTGTACACTATTGGCAGGTAATTGGTTGTAGTGGCGGAGTAGACTATTGCATTGGGCACGGGTGAAATTCCTTAGTGTGGACAAGTTTTGAGGAAACGTGACGTTTCTATCAGATGGTAAATCACCATTCAAATTGGGGAATTCGCGAAATAAATCGTTATCGCGAGACGAGTTACCATTAAGAGATCTTGCCATACTTGTTTGAAAACTACAGAAAAGTTAACGTTAATTATAAGTTTTGATATATTTTCAAAAATAATAAAAAGGCTTTCATAATCACCTCACGTCAAAAAGGGAATAAATAGTGCCATTTTGTGCACAAGCATTGTTGATGCCTTGGGTTATGGCTTGATCTATGGCGCCATTTGGTGCACAAGCATTGGTTATGGCTTGTTCTATGGCGCCATTTGGTGCACAAGCATTGTTGATTCCATTGTTTATGGCTTGATCTATGGCTCCATTTGGTGTACAAGCTGTTATAATGGCGTTGTTAATAGCTAGGTCAGCAATACCTCCATTTGAGAAAGCCTGAATGAACCATTCTGGAGTTCCTGTAGTATTGGTGTTGGTACCCGCCAGGACCGATGCATTTGCTATACAAAGTTAAAAAAAAAAATTTTACTACATAAAGGTATGAAAAAAAATAACTTCCAAATTATTCTTACCATGTGTTGTCACAAGCGAGTTAGAGTATACTCTCCACTCACCAAGTTCAGTATCTGTCACACTTCCTAGATTCTCTGTAAAGCATATTTCTCAATTAGATACGAAGAAGGACTGTGTCTTGCACTATGAGACCTACCATTGGCTATTACTAGTTTATACATAAAACGGTCTACTTGACCTAATTCTTGGAGAGTTGGTGGATAAGTTTGAGTTGGCACCACGTCTGTTGGCATACTTGTTGGTAGGTTCGGTTGTTGGGCCATTTTTATTTTGGAGAAAATGAGGAAGAGAGAGAGAACTTGAGATTAAATAGACGTGTTTAATATATAGTGACGGTATGATGACAAATCTTGTTTATTATGACAAATCTTATTTATTTAATAAACTCCGCTCGACTAGAAATTTGATCACATTTATTATATATAATTTTTTTTATTTCTTAGAGAACGTTAATTACGTTTCATTTTTTGTTTTATTTTCAGGAACAGCGGACAGGCGGAACAGCATTTGGACTGGTAATTGAACTTTAAGTTAAGTAATAGAGGTCTTCTTTTTTTTATTGAAACATTACTAACGTTTTCACCTTTGTCGCTTTACGCTTTATAGGAACGGGATCTCAAATTAAAATGTGTATTACTAAAGTTTAATAACGTATAAGATTACTTCTTTTGTAATTTTAACATGAGGTTTTGGATGGCTACATTCAACTACATGAGAATGTTACAAGATCAATTCTCATTTAAAAACATATTACTCGATATTAGTTCTTTTAAAACAAATACAAAGTTACTTTTATTCAGATATAAATCCGGATATTATCATGTTGTAGACACAATAAGTTGATTTTTTTTTCATCAAAAATTTTTTTTCAAAGGATTTATTTGTAATTTAAGATTTATACTTTATTTAGTAATTTCACTTGAGATTTATATTAATAAAATTTTATTTTTATATAAAATTGATTTACTTTTTTAATCAAATCATTGACAATTATTTTTTTTTTTCACTCTTTAATTTTATTATTATTATTAAGATAATATTATTATTAAAATTATTATAGGATTAATATTAAGATTAAAAATATCAATTTTACTATAATTGTATAAAACTTATTGTTATATATTGATATAAGTAATACAGTTTCTAATATAAAAATATTGATATAGATAATTTAGTTTCTAATATAAAAGATTTTAATACTTTTAATTATATTTTAATTGCATTCTATTTTCTTAATATTGCATTATTTTTTTATAATATAAGGTAAAACAAATTTCAATAAGTTTTATATTAGTAATCATTATTATTTAAATTTTAAAATTAGATACTATTTTATATTTTTAAAAGGTAAAAGTCTTTATCTTATAAGAAAGTGATTAATAAGTAATTAGAAATGATTATATTAAAAATAAATTATATTAGATATTGTAGTACTATTCAATCGAGTTATTATTAAAAATAAAAATAAAGATATAACAATTATTTATCTTTTAATATTCTATATAAGAATAGTAACTTTTAGGATTTATAGTTAATCTTATAAAATTATTTCATTTTGAGATTTCTAATAATAGGTAAAGATTATAATGATTCTAATATATTTTAAAAATAATAGAAATTAATGATTTCTATAACTAAAAGTAATTCCTTTATTCAATTTTAATAGTAGTTTCAAAGATTTAATTGAATCTAAATAACAGTTTTTAGATAAATATATATAAGGTTAAGAATATTAACAGTTAAAGAAAATCTGATTTTAAACTGATTATGTAATTAAACTGATTTAGTTTAGTTTTAAGATTAAGAATTACAATAAATATCAGTTTTTATCACGTAATTTAACTAATAATTTAACTGAATTTTTAGTCACAATTTTAACTATAATTAATAACTTATTTAAAAGAATCTAAATAATAAATTTTTATCATTATTTATCTAAAAAAAATTCAAAAAGCATTAGTTTTTGAAACTAATGAAATAAAAACTTAATAATAAAATTTTTGTTTTGCATGTTAATTAATTTTATTATTTATTATAATAATGATATATAAATAAAATAAAAAATTAAAATTATGAATAATGTAAATTTATAAATATTAGAATATGTTTACTTTTGACCAAATATAGATTAATCTATAACTGTTAATTTTAAATATTATGTAAAACTATAAAGGTAATAAGCTTCATTTAAAAAAAAATTTTTTTAACAAAAATCAGAAAAAAAACTGAATATAAAATTAAAAGAAAAAATGAAAAAAGAAAAAGAAATGACAATAGTTAAAGAGAATGACAGTTAAAATTTGTTTTAAAAAAAAGAATATTAATAGTTAGAATACACTAGACGAAATAGTCCAAATCGGCTAAAAATCAGATGGCCGATTTTAGGCTGATTTTGATACTATTTATGGCTGATTTGCCATGTTTTCTGATCGACACAAACAGGTGCCGATAGACGCCGATCGATCCCAATCAAACATGGCCATTCAGAACTTAAATTCAACCTAAAACTGGCCTCAATTTGGCAATAATTCAGACGTCGATAGACGCTGATCGACTCCAATTGGATATAGCCATTCAGATTAAATTCAACCATAAATCAGCCTAAAATTGACCTTAATTTAGCATCATTCGGCATTAATTTGAAACTTAAATAACATAAATCGGCTTAAAATTAACCTCAATATAGCATCATTTGGCATCAATTCAGAACTTAAATAATCATAAATCAGCCTAAAATTGGCCTCAATTTGGTATCAATTCAATCAAATAAGTATATAAAATCAATATATTATATTTATTAAATTTATTAAATATTATAACTTTATTAATAATAAAAACCTAACATAATTCACAAAAATATAACATAAATATTATCAAAACTCACTGATTAATTTTCTATCTAAAAAATATAAGTAAAAAATGAAAAAACCATGTAAAATAATAAAAATATAATTCATTTTCCTCCTAAAATCCCTTAAATCATCCTAAATATTCATTATAGTAATATTGTCATTTTTGAAAAAAAAAGTAAAAAAATCAGAAAAATCATAAAAATTCAACTTAATTTTTATCCGATTTGATAGTTAAAGGCATATTTTTATTATAAAAGTAAAAAAATCAGAAAAATTGACTAAAATTCAACTTAATTTTCGTCCGATTTGATGGTTGGAGGCATATTTCTATTATAAAAAGCAAAAAAATCAGAAAAATTCAACTTAAGTTTCATTCGATTTTGATGGTTGAAGATATGTTTCTATTATAAAAAACAAAAAAATCAGAAAAATTCAATTTAAGTTTCGTCTGATTTTGATGGTTGGAGGTATGTTTCTATTATAAAAAGCAAAAAAATCAGAAAAATTGATTAAAATTCAACTTAATTTTCATCCGATTTGATGGTTGAAGGCATGTTTCTATTATAAAAAGTAAAAAAATCAGAAAAATTCAACTTATGTTTCGTTCAATTTGATGGTTGAGGCATGTTTCTATTATAAAAAACAAAAAAATCAGAAAAATTCAACTTAAGTTTTGTCTGATTTTGATGGTTGAAGGCATGTTTCTATTATAAAAGGTAAAAAAATCAGAAAAATTGACTAAAATTCAACTTAATTTTCGTCCGATTTGATGATTGAAAGCATATTTTTATAAAAAGTAAAAAAATCAGAAAAATTGACTAAAATTCAACTTAAGTTTCATCCGATTTGATGGTTAAAGGCATGTTTTTATTATAAAAAGCAAAAAAATCAGAAAAATTCAACTTAATTTTCGTTCAATTTGATGGTTGAAGGCATGTTTCTATTATAAAAAGCAAAAAAATCAGAAAAATTGACTAAAATTCAACTTAATTTTCATCCGATTTGATGGTTAAAGGTATGTTTCTATTATAAAAAGCAAAAAAATCAGAAAAATTGACTAAAATTTAACTTAATTTTCGTCCGATTTGATGGTTGAAGGTATGTTTCTATTATAAAAAGCAAAAAAATCAGAAAAATTGACTAAAATTCAACATAATTTTCGTCCGATTTTGATGGTTAGAGGCATGTTTCTATTATAAAAAATAAAAAAATCAGTTTATTTTTGAAAAATTGACTAAAATACAGCTTTTTCTTTATCCGATTTTGATAGTTGAAGGCGAAAATTGACTAAAATTTAACTTAGGTCTTTTTGTTTTTGGGACGATTTTTTTTAGGATTTTGGTGTAATGTAAAAAGAGAAAATTTGGAAATGATTGAAATTATTTTTTAAAAAGTTAAAAAATTAAGCTTATTTATATAAATATTCCTATATACCAGAAAAAAACTCAAATAGTACATTAAATCAATATTATTTTAGCAAATCGGTTTAATTCAAAAATTCAGTTTATTGGAACGATAATACCTTAGGAACGATAAAACCATCATTCCTTAGGTACGATAAAATCATCATCCCTAAGGAACGATAAAATTGTCATACCTAAGGAATGATAATATCATCGTTCTTAAGATATGATGATATTATCATTCCTTAGATACGATAATATCATTGTCCCTAAGGAACGATAATACCATTGTACCTTAAGAATAATAAAACAATCGTCCCTAAGGAACGATAAAATTGTCATACCTAAGGAATGATAATATCATACCATCATTCCTTAGGTATGATAAAACAATCGTTCTTTAGGAACGATAAATGAATTGCATCTAAGGAAAGATAAAACCATCATTCCTTAGGTACGATAATACCATTATCGATAAAACAATCGTCTCTAAGGAATGATGGTTTTATCGTTCCTTAGGGACGATAGTATTATCATTCTTTAGGTATGATAAAACTATCATTCCTTAGGTACAATAATACTATCGTCTCTAAGGAACGATAAAACCATCATTCTTTAGATACGATAATACTATCATTCCTAAGGAACGATAAAACAATCATTCCTTAGGAATGATAAAACTATTGTTCCTTAGGTATGATAATACCATCATCCCTTACAGGAGGGACCGTCCCATATAAGGATAATGTTACACAATTCAGATTTTTATTTTTTTATACAGTTTACAGTACTTTTTCGAGGGCTACGTAACCTTTCTCCACCATAAAATGTGACCAAATTTATTAAGCAAACTTGAAGAATTCATACCATACTACAATATTTTTTTTAATCCTTGTTAATCCCACAACTTTATTATTGCTATTTACCTACCAAAGATATATCCGAGGCAAAGCAATGTTCAGAATGCCAAACTACAAAGTCGACCAAATTTCATTTTTTAAAGGGAGA